CTGCCACAGTTTAGAGAATATGGAAGCATCAATTTTTTATAAAATGATGCAAGAAAAATGAAAAGACAGAAGTTCAAGAATTAGCCCAATGAGGTGGGATTCTTCTCAATGACTATGCACAGTCCTTATTCTATGAACCATAATCAAAGTAGTCAGTCTGAAATACAATTTATTTTTGATAATTTATGGTTTGGTCCATCAATTTTGTACTCCAGAAAAATAAAAAGCAAACTAAGATAACTATCCCCCCCCCCCCCCCAAAACCACCAAGCTCAGCCCTTTCTCTTCCTTTATTTTTCTCCAATTGAAGTTATTTCTGATGGGTTAAGCCAAAATAGTCCAATTTATGTGTTAAAGTCCAACTCCAGTTGAGGAGCCCAACCTCATTTTGAATCTACCAAATCCAAGACAGTCCAAGACCGGTTAGACTTTTTGCTTAGCACGTCATCAAGAGGAGAGCATGAGAAGCTTATCTGCACCACCGAAGGAAACGGTCCAAGCTTTGACCACGTTTCATGAAGAGCTCCCCAACCTCCTCCTTCCCTTGAGGATAAGTCATGATCTCCACCAGAATGATCTCTTAGCTGCGATAAAGTAACCTTGAGGATAAGTCATGATCTCCACAAGAATGATCTCTTAGCTGCTATAAAGTAGCCCCAATCTGTGAGGAGAAGAGAGATGAAGGTCACGCCCCACCAACACTTACAGAGGACAAACCGACAACCGGAGACCACTCCTCTTTGATTCTCCATTCTCTCAAAGCTTGTATCTCTATTCTCCATACCTCTGAATTAATAAAATACCCGGCAACTGAAGCCATTAAAGAGTGGATGTAGGTCGAATTGACCGAACCACTATAAATCGTGTTTTCTTCAATTTTTTCATTGATTTCACTGCATTTATTACCTACACTTGACAGGTGGTGTGCAAAACCATTTTTGTGCATCATCAGTTTGACGCCGTCTGTGGGAAACGACAAAATTCTCACTCCTGAACATTACATCCATTGAACTAATGGCAATCACTACCCGATTCATGAACCAACCTGAAGACAATCCTCCACGAGAGGAAGAGATTGCTCCCCCGCCTACCAACTCTGTCCCAGATACTCTAGCTCCGAATCCCCAGCAAATGTTGGAGACCATGCAACAACTGGTTGCTTAAAACCAACAGTTACTGCAACTCATACTTGCTGGACAAGGAGGAGCACCACTTGGAGGTGCACAACATGGAGGACCCCAAGGAGGAGCACCACTCGGAGGTGCACAACATGGAGCACCCCAAGGAGCTCCATGTCCTAGACATAAAAGAGCTCCACACCTTGCACATCAAGCAGCTCCACAACTTGTTGACGGAGGTGCACAATATGGAGGACCCCAAGGAGGAGCACAACACGGAGATGCACAACATGGAGGGCCCCACGGAGGTGCACAACATGGAGCACCCCAAGGAGCTCCACGTCCTGCATATCAAAGAGCTCCACGCCCTGCACATCAAGCAGCTCCACAACTTGTTGCTCCCTATTTGGGCGCCCCCTTTGGAGTTCCCTTGGGTGCCCTTCATAGGGGAGCTCCCCACGGGGGACCTCCACCTCCTCTTCCAGCTCCCTTTTCTCATGGTGGGGGCTTTCTTTTCGAAGAGGACAAGGGTGAGAACCAGAGCATGGAGCATGGAAGCCATTTCCAAGATAATTCCAAAGGAGCTCCCAACCACTGGGACGAAAAAATAAAAGAGGTACAAAATCAACAAGACGACATTTTCAACACTATGAAAGCACAGAGACCCGAGACAGTGGACTGCCTTATAAGTCGAACCAACACACCCTTCGTACCTAACGTGACGAACTACCCACTTCCCAAGAAGTTTAAAATGTCATCCGTTGAAACCTTTGACGGTACGAAGGACCCACTTGATCACCTCGAAACTTTTAAGACCATGATGCAACTACACAACGTCCTCGACGAAATTATGTCTAAGACATTCCCAATTACCTTGAAGGGATCAGCGCGACAATGGTTCGCCAAACTCACCCCGGCCTCTATAGGCTCCTTCGCCGAACTGAGCAGATCCTTTGTGACACAATTCATTGGTGGACGCCGTCAGCAGCAGCCTGTCATCCATCTGCTCAGCATAAAACAGGATCGTAATGAGAGTCTAAGGAGTTACCTCACTCGTTTTAACGAGGAAGTCCTCCAAATCGAGGAACCCAATGACAAAGTCGCCATGACTGCCTTCCTGGGAGGCCTCTGCTCATCCAGATTCATTTTTTCAGTAATAAAGCAACCACCAAAGAGCATGCCAGAACTATTCACAAAAGCTCAAAGATATATGAATGCTGAGTAAATCAACAAGTTTAGGCAAGGTGAATCATCTCACAGATCACCAGAAACTTGACCTGCCTCTGCACTGTTCTCAAACAGGCAGCCTATCTCCAGTTTAGCGGCTTCCTCTGGGATCGCCAAAAAAAAAACTTAGCCTCTGCACTGTTCTCAAACAGACAGCCTATCTCCAGTTAGCGGCTCTCTCACGGGTCGCCAAAAAACTTGGCCTCTGCACTGTTCTCAAACAGGCAGCCTATCTCCAGTTTAGCGGCTCTCTCACGGGTCGCCAAAAAACTTGGGCTCTGCACTGTTCTCAAACAGGCAGCCTATCTCCAGTTTAGCGGCTCTCTCACGGATCGCCAAAAAAAAAAAACTTGGCCTCTGCACTGTTCTCAAACAAGCAGCCTATCTCCAGCTTAGCGGCTCTCTCACGGGTCGCCAAAAAAAATTTGGCCTCTGCACTGTTCTCAAACAGGCAGCCTATCGCCAGTTTAGCAACTCTCTCACGGGTCGCCAAAAAACTTGGCCTCTGCACTGTTCTCAAACAGGCAACCTATCTCCAGTTTAGCGGCTCTCTCTGGGATCGCCAACAAAAAACTTAGCCTCTGCACTGTTCTCAAACAGGCAGCCTATCGCCAGTTTAACGGCTCTCTCACGGATCGCCAAAAAAGCTTGGCCTCTGCACTGTTCTCAAACAGGCAGCTTATACCTCAAGCTTAAAGACTCCCTCATGGGTCGCCAAAAGCTAGGTCTAAAAAAGTGTAGCTCTCTCACGAGCAGTTCTCCAACTCTGTCTTTGCTCTCGCGCAAGCAGCCTACTTCTCTCTCTCTAGGTAATTATGTGAGATATTTTAATGTTTGGAATAACATTATTTTTGTCATCACAAGCAGGCTCTCCCGAGGCAGCCCCAGGCTCACCCAAGGCGCCCAGCACCTAGAGAAGGGCTTGATCATCAAGAGCAACACCCAAAGCTTCCTTACTACTTGCAATGTCTAGCCCAACGCCTAGAAGTGTGTCTGACTGCTGTTGCTCGTCAAAACAAAGTTGCCCAGTAGCTTGAAGGGTGTCTGGCCCTTCAAAATTGTGCAAAGCAGAATTTTCGGCGCAAAAAATCAGCACCTAAGGGGCCCAAATCAGCGCCTCGAGTGAGAATCAGATCAGCCCGTGCTCCCAGGCCACTGCTTAGCTCTTCCTGATGAACCTTGGACTGATTTTCAGCACCCCTTGATGGAAAAATACTGCTGCCCAGCGTTCCAAAGCTGCCCAGCGCAGCTGAGCTGTCCGGCACAGCAGAAGCAGCAGCCAGGCTGCTGCCCAGCGCACCTGGGCTGTCCAGGACAGCAAGGCCAGCGCACAGGCAACTGCCCAGCGTGCCTGGGCTCTCCAGGACGGGAGGAGCAGAGCCCAGGCAGCCGCCCAGCCCCCCACCGCGCGCGCGCGAGCTGCCCAGCTGCGTGCCTGCGCTGAGCAGCCGCGAGCCTGGGCTGTCTAGTCGCACGCCCAGCCGTTTTCCTTCGCTGCCCAAGCCACTCCTCGCGCTGCCCATCTCCCCTTCGTTGTCCATCCCTTCATTTATAGCCCCAAAGCTGTCCAAAACATTATTCGAATGCCCAAAACCAGCCTTCAAGTTCTCCAAAATGGTGCCTACTTCCTCCCTTTCTTCAACCTCCACCACTCCTTCTTCAATCGACATTGTTTACTTGAGAAGCTCAACTAGCAAGGAAGAAATCACACTCTTGAAAGGATTCAAAGAGAACACACTTTGGCTTCAACAAAATGGGTAGGACTTGAGTTTTCAAGGTTTTCAAGAGGTGGGTGCTCAACCTTAAAAATGAGTGAAATGGGTAACATGAAGAAGAAGACTATATTTATAGTCTAGGGTTTTTCAAAAAGAGGGAAAAAGCCCAAATAGAAAATTATGGGCCCTTTTCAAAATAAAGTGGTCAAATAGAAAGTTATAAGTCCTTTTCAAAATAAAAAGGTCAAATATAATATTATGGGCCCTCTTCAAAATAAAATGGGAAAGACTTGAAGTTAAAAAAAAAAAAAAAAAAGAATAATATAGTCAATGCCTCCTTCTCCAAGTCTCATTGGACATGGGGCATTGGGGGGCAAATGATGGGTTAAGCCCAAATAGTCCAATTTATGTTTTAAAGTCCAACTCCAGTTGAGGAGCCCAACCTCATTTTGAATCTACCAAACTCAAAACAGTCCAAGACCGGTTAGACTTTTTGCTTAGCACGTCATCAAGAGGAGAGCATAAGAAGCTTATCTGCACTACCGAAGGAAACTGTCCAACCTTTGACCACGTTTCATGAAGAGCTCCCCAACCTCCTCTTTCCCTTGAGGATAAGTCATGATCTCCACCAGAATGATCTCTTAACTGCGATAAAGTAGCCTTGAGGATAAGTCATGATCTCCACCAGAATGATCTCTTAGCTGCTATAAAGTAGCTCCAATCTGTGAGGAGAAGAGAGATGAAGGTCACGCCCCACCAACACTTACAGAGGACAGACCGACGACCGGAGACCACTCTTTCTTTGATTCTCCATTCTCTCAAAGCTTGTATCTCTATTTTCCATACCTCTGAATTAATAAAATACCTGGCAACTGAAGCCATTGAAGAGTGAACGTAGGTCGAATTGACCGAACCACTATAAATCATGTCTTCTTCAATTTTTTCATTGATTTCACTGTATTTATTACCTACACTTGACAGGTGATGTGCAAAACTATTTTTGTGCATCATCAATTTCTATGGTAATGATGTGGGCTTGTGCGTTCAGTCTAAAATTGCAGCACGAATCGGCCAAAACGACTCTGGAGGTGATACTGCCCAATGACACATTTATTGCTGTAGTCAGTGATGTGAATCACTCAACAAACCAATTCCTTTCTCAACCATAACTCAGCTCGTTGGCCATTTTACGACAGAACTTTTCAGTTGATTGACTATAATAGAGGTCACAATTTGATTAATCATTGTAATTCATTCACTGATTCATTCTTGACTTAACAGTCCCAGGATTCACAAGAAGGATACAGTTCATGATTGTACTAAAAATTGTACGTACCTGACCAACACCAATACGAAATGTAAGGGGCTTTCCGCGATTGTAGCTGCTATCGAAGACCTTTCCATTCTCCAATTTGCCCACATAATGCGCCTGCTCATTTTTAGGTCACAAAATCAGATACCATTGTTGTAAAAGCATAAACACATGATTTTCAAGTTAATCTATTGCCAAGAGAAAAGGCACAAAAAACATGTTGCTATTTTAGGAACCAAGGATCCGTTTACTTCAGTTATAGTTTTATCGAGTGGCTTATGGGTCCATGTTCATGTGCAGTCTGTGGGGATTTTGTACACGAATAGGAGACTTCTTTAACTTATTTCCAAAGATTAGTTCATAGTCTTAGGAACCGTGGGGGTAGAAATATTGCAAGGAAGATCTGGTTGATATTTTGAAACGATGGCTGTACCATGGAGCTCGTGCAGCTACCAGATCATCCTTGTGACACTGTAGGGCTGTTAATCAACTCGAAACTTAGCTCGGTAGTGACTGGCCGAGGTTGAACTGTTGAGCTTAGATTTGACTACTAGACGACATCGAACTGCTCTAATCGTTCAACGGCCTTAGACTCTCAACTTTTGATCACAGTGATTCCCACATTGTTCGAGTAAAAAGACCGGAACATACTACTCTGGGTTCGAGTACAAAAACGGGAACAAACTACTTCAAGTTTGAGCTTAAGCTTTTGATTTCAGTTTGAATCAAACTATATATCACCCTAGAATCCAAAGCGCATATAGAAATCTAAACTACCTTAATTAGTTGTCCTTTGACAGCCTCTGGGCCACTTCCTAGAGCTTTATCGCAGTATGCTAACCCCGACGGAGTTTCGGTTAGCTCACAAGGACTGGCTTCTGCTTCTGCTGCTGCTGCTGCTGCAAAGGCCTGTGGTTGTAAAAGAACTTGAAGAAGACCAGAACAAACTCCAAGTCCAATTACTTCTCTTCTTGCACATAAGGTTGAGTTTTCATTTAGTTTTAACAGGTGAGAAGAGGTGATGTGGTGGCTTGTGGATTTGGCTGATGAAGCTTCTGTTGTGTGCAAGTTTTTATAGAGTAAACAACTGGTAATGGATGTGCTGTGGTTTGTGGGAGGTAGAGAGAGAAGGGAAAATGGCAGTGAGCTCATCTCTTCCACTGCCAGCCAGGGTAATGAAGGGATAAGAAAGGATGGGTTGTCCATCCATTCATTTTATATGAGTGGGAGGAAACTTTGAAAATTTCAATCACAACACGAAGCAGTCCATGCATTCATTTGAGAGCAATTCATTTGACAGCAATGCCGCTGGACCTAATTTAGTTCCCTAAGTTCCATCAAATATTAAAATTTGTTATTAATTTAATGATTTCAATGAAACAACGTCATTAAATCAACCAATTATGTCAATTTTCTAGGTCCAAATAACATTTTCCTTTCTTTGAAGCCAAAATAATTTACTTGAATCACCATGTTTGCAGACCAAATTAATTATTTTTGTTGAATTAATTTTATATTAATTAAATAGAGTCTACTGTTAATCTAATAATTAGCGATACATTTTAATATAGCATAAATAATATTTCTCAACAATATTTAGCCGTTGTTCATGCACTCATTCGTGCCAGCAAACTTTTGAACACAAAAATTGTCATTATCTAATGGGTAATTCTAAACTTAAAAATAGAATCAAAGAAGATACCAAATAATAGCATACTCACGTGATGGTGCTGACTAAGCAATGCTTTGATTTAGGCATTGGTTTTTGGACGAAATTTTAAGACGCGTTTTACGTTTTGACTAAATGAAATTTTGAAGATCAATTTGAATTTCAATTTGTTGCTCCAATAAGTTTTTGGTCTGAAAATTTTCCCTGCTCATAACCGTCACATGAATTTCATACCTTTTGGTCCCATTTTTGTGTTAGTTTCACATTACCTTTGATGATGCTAGAGTTTGACCTCCGATCACCTGAGTAGATTACTAGCTAGGATTGTCCACTGGCCAACCAAGGGGAGCACTTGAAAAGACAATTCGAAGATAAGAGGAGCTCCGAGATACTTAAATCAATAAAGGGAAAAGAAAATTGAATATCAAATTGATGTAGAGATTGCTTTACTATTTGATATCCTTCCCCCTACTTTTATAGGCAGTATGTTATAGTTAGAAGGTGGAGTGGAAGTGGACTCCTTCAATTGGTCAAATGTGGAGAGCTAAGAATCTGGTGAGTTGGAGGAGTAGCAAATTCGTGAGTTAGAGCTTTGTTGAGCTGCCAAGCTCCCTGTGCTGAGAATCCCATCATCAGTTGCCCCCCAAGCTTAGCTCAGCATAACTTGCATGTGCCCTTCATTTGAGACAGTTGTACGTTAGTGCTTGGGGAATCAAAAACATGAAGGGTGCGTATGTAACCGCTAAAGAATCGTTATGGGGGCTAGTATTTAAATGCTTCTTGGCACTGCCTTCTAGCACCTTTCAAGAACTTCAAAACTCCTAGTACGCCTCTTCTTCCCCTTGTTCATCCTTATCTTTTTCTCTTTCTTGTTGCACTAGAATTCTTCAAGCTATAGTAGGTAGTGTGGAGTTACACCTTTCACTTCCACTTCTACATATTCTATTTCCTTTGGTGGAAACACCACGATATTGATTCATTAGGGTTCTTTGTAGATAACTCCACCTGTGGTTGGCTGGAATCTATCCTTGATTCCTGTCTTTCCCTTCTCACGCATAGGGCTGATTGTCTTCTTCCCCCTAACTTGTACATCAACCATGATAGTTTCATTCCTATGTTAGGAGAGCATAGTGGTTCGGAGCGTACTTTATCTGAGATCACTCCTCTGCTGGCATCCGAGGTCAATAAGGCAAATGGGGATTCTCATTCCATCATAGAAATTATCTCTCCATTGGTGAAGATTGTGAGGGTGAAGCTATTTCAAATTTCCCTCACTGATAGTACTCTGAGCAAGATTAGAGCCCTTTATTAGATTCCTGAAGCAATACGACTTTGGTTACCCTCTCTAGATGAAATCGCGGGATTCATGTGTCCTAAATCAAGTCTATTTTTATGAATCCATCTTCGAGGTTGTGCTTTGTTTCCCCATACCTTAATACATCAGAGAAGCCCTCCATTATCTGAACCTTTTCCCTTCACAATTGACTTCGAATAGTTGGAGGTTCTTGGTAGGTATTGGCATTCTTTGGGCCAAAGCTAACGACGATGGTGCTCGACTTACCATTGCTGAGCTCTTGCACTACTACAAACTCACCCCTTGCTTTGGGCAGAGCTTGGGGTGGTTCTATCTCTCAAAACGTGAGAAAATCGACCTTCTGACAGTCTATTCCTCCAACGTCAAGGAGTGCAAGGATAAATTCTTTGTTTTTAGCTTGGATGGGAGTTTGGGCATTCAAAGGTCCTCTCTATTCAGTCCCTTCTAGTTCCTCATTTATAGGGATCTCCTGTTCCATTTGAAAGTAATGGACTTTTTTTTTGTTCCCTTATTCTATCACTTTTTCTAATTGTTTTCTTTCATGTAGGTAAAACATGCCCTTTGTCCTCGAGCTTTATAAGAGAGGTGAGAGAATGACTGCTTATTCTTCTAAAGATCTCTTTACCTTGGTGGCTGACCAAGCTCTTTTTGACTGTAAGTTTAGCCCAACTCCTCCGGTCACTGCTCCTCTAACTCCCAGACCTTCTCCTTTTAGTGGTAAAGTCTAGTTCCTACAAAATCCTTGCTTTATTATTGCTCAGGAGCTAACTTTTTTTTCTTTGGTGTAGGAATGGTACCCAAGGTCGACAAGAAGCTACTCAAAGTGCTTTGCATGGAAAAGGCTTTAGAGGGCGATTCTCCCTTAAGGAAGAAACCACAACTTACATATTCCCAATCAAAGGGTAAATCTCTGACTCCTCTACACTTCTTGCATCTTCTCCAGCCTCAAAAGTGTATGGAGAGAAAGGTGGAATCTTGTGAGGAGGTGTTTGTGCCAAAGTTTACTCTTGTAAAGGTGGAGTCTCCACCAATGCCCTCAAAGAAAAAGAGGAGGATAAGGGGAATGAGAAGGTCTTTGAACTTGGTGTGGCTTCTTTGTGGGACAATGAAGAAGAAGCCTTGATTAGGCTTCACCAGTTTGTTTATGATGAGGAGGTGAATGCCACCTTTGAGCTAGGGACTATTTGGGCAAATAGAGTCCTTGCCTAGCCATTGAGAGAGTATGGTTTCCAAACCACTTCTTTATTCTCTTTATTCCCTTTATTCCATTATCATTTTCTCTTTTAACTCCTTTATTCTTTTTTTAGATTTCTATCCTTTCTACTAGCCTCTCCTTCACTATTGTTGGTGAGAAGAAGGCTTGTCAAAGCCAATTCCACGAGCTCCAAGCTATGATTGAGAAGGTAGATTCTGAGCTAAAATCTTTTGAAGAAAATCTCCAACTGGAGAAGGAGGAGCATGAGAAAACTAATAGATCCTTCGTCGAGTTGCTAACAACCAAGGATGAGTTGCAAAGGAAGCTCTCTACTTCTGATACCACTGCCAAAGAATCTTTAAAAAGGGCTGATAAGTCTGAAGAGGAGAACAAGGTCATCTCCCTTAAGGTCACCAAGCTCTCTACTTCTTTGGAGCAAAATGGGGCTGAGCTCACTGCCTTAATAGAATCCACCAAGAAGTCCGCTGTGGTGGAGTACAAAGAATCTAGTGATTTCAACAAGGAGGTCTTGGAATAAAACATGGTGGCTTGAGGACTTCAAAAAATGTGATAGGGAGGAGTACCAATACTGGGATTTTTTTTAAATTCCAACCTGATGATGACCACGCTTCTGTGGCTGAGAGAGATAATGTGGAAGAAGCTAGTGATGAAATGAGCAGCAAGGCAGAGGTGAGCAGCCAGGTTGAAAGAGCTGTTAGCTTTTTGTGCTTTTCCTCTCTTATTGGTTGTACTTAACTTTTTTGTACATGATGAACAACTCTTTTTTGCTGCATATCTTCCTCATGCTGAGCAAAATTTTGAGTTTATTGTGCCTTGTATGTTGGCTATTCAATAGCTAACACTCTAGGCTTCTTTTAAGGTGAAGTACCTTATAGTGCAAATGAGCAATTTTTTGCCCAACCTAAGCTAGGCAAAGCACTATATGTGCTCATGAGCCATTGTTGGCTCCATTCGACCTAGGCAAGGTACTTTACAATGCTCATGAGCCATTGTTGACTCAATCAGAGCAAGGCAAAGTACCTTGTGCTCATGAGCCAGATGCTCTTGAATCATGGTTGGCTTAGTTTGAGCAACATTATTCAGGAAAATAACAAATTTTTAATGCGAGGGTCAGTCTGTAAATTATTTGGGCTAAACTAAAAGCCCTCCTTAACTAGTAGACCTCTGAAATACATTTTCAATTTGGACCGATCAAGAGGTCAAACATAATTTTCATTGAATAGGTTGAATCAATATCTTCACCAAATTAAGCTCATAAATGCATTTTATTCACACGGGCTATTAAGTTGAAAAAAAATGTCTTTTATTAAAGCTAGGAAAGTAAAGTAACTATTGGAAAAACTTCTTCAAGTGCCCGGCATTCCAAAAGCGTGGCAGTTGTACTCCTTTTGAGGTCTCCAGGTGATATGTCCATGACCCTAACACTGTGAGTATTTTCTCTAGGACTAAGTCATTTCGTATGAACTCCCATTGTTGCACCCTGGAGTTGTAGTACTTTTCCTTTTGCTTTGTTATGCCACTGTCCTTTTCTTTTTTCCAACTAGTCTAAGTTGTAGGCCAGTTGCTGGTCATTTGTTGCCTGGTTGAATTCTTTATTTTGGTATGTGGCTAGTTTTATCTCCACAGGAATGATAGCCTTTGTGCCGAAAACCAAAGATTAGGGAGTCTCACTCGTAGGGGTCTTGAAAGTAGTTCGGTATGCCCAAAGGATGCTTGGGAGGTGTTCTACCCAAATTCCTATGAAGAGCTTGTTTTGGCCCTCCAATGAACTTGTTCTGGCCCTTCCCCATTGGAAGTGGCTGTTTAGTACTTAAATTTAGCATATTATTATGCCTTTTTAGGATTAATTGTACTTTAATGGAGTTTAAGTGATGACATTTTAGGTCCTAAAGTGAACAAGAACCCAAGAACAACAAAAATCACACTTGGATGTAACACCAACATATTGGGGACAAAATTGGAGAAACTTGGAACAAAGCAAGAATGTTCGAATGCCAACTCACGTTTGAACGTTCACTTGAACTATGAAAAGACCAGATTGCTGAGACATGGCGTGTTGTAGCCAAGAAGGAAGACCTTGAAGTATTTGAGTACCACGTTCGAACGCCAAACCACGTTCGAACGCCAACTAACGTTTGAACGTCCACTTGAATTGATTGAACACCAAGGTGATGAGTGCAAAGTGCCAAGTTCTGCATAGAGTGTAGAAATATGTTTCCACAGAAGACTATAGGCCACTTGAGTGAGAGGGTCAAACCCCATCTGGCGTTCGAACGCCAATAAAGCAGAGACAAAAGAAACGTTCGAACGTCATACAATGTTCGAATGCCCATAAAGCAAAAACAGAAATTACATTCAAACGCCAACTCATGTTCGAATGTTCTCCATAGATAGATTGCAGAGTGGTGGGCTTTCACTTGGACTTGGGCGGCATACACTATTCTTTCACCACCCCTCCTCCTCCTTGCCTATAAATACTCCCATTGTGAGAGCTTCAGAGGGACAAATATAGATAGGGAGCTTGATGGAGGCTTAGAATCCCACTCATGTAGCTAGCTTTAGAGATATATTTGCTTGTATCAAGGGAGATAGTTCATCTTTTGGTTGAGGAAGAAACCCTCCATTTCTTGGTTGAGGAAGCCACCCTCTAAATGTGACTAGCTTTCTTCTACTTTTATTGTTCATATCTTTCACTTCCATAGCTTGAGCCTCCTTTTTTCTTAGAGGAGTGAAACTCTTCCACTTTTCTAGAGCTTTACCAAAGCCATGAAGGGTGGAACGTGATTCATTCATTCTTCGTTGAAGATTGGCTCCTTATTTATTGTACTTTCATTTTGTAACTTTTCTACTTGGAGGGATGAGTATCACTCACTTTTCTAGCTTTACCCAAGCCATGAAGAGTGACTAGTTTCTCATTCACTCTTTAATAAGAGGTGATGAACATGTATTGATTATCCAAAAATTATATTTGTGCATTTTCTTTATACTTTAATGTTTTATATTTCACTTATTGAATGATAGAATGCATCTAGCAAAGCTAAGGTACTTTATATAACTATGAGTTCTTTCTATGACATGGATAACTCTTGCATGGAAAGACCCGTTGGTTCAAGGTAAGTACCCCGACTAGATCTTCATGACAATATTTCAATCTTCACTATTATTGTGTTTTATTTAAAGAATAAAACATTAACACCATAGTTGGATACCTTGTAGAAGCACTTGCTTGTTTATAGACGGGTTGAGTCTCAGCACAGACAATCTTGTTAACTTCTAGAAAGGCATCGGAACCATGTGCTTAATTCACACAGTCCATCTTCTGATTAACTTGCTATTGACACGGGAGTTAATTGAGTTATAAAGCACAAGTATAATAAACTGAATGATTACTTACAAATTCTGATCCTCGAGCTAGAGGGTGACTGTTTCACATTTGAATTTATCTTATATTTTGTCTAGAAAACTCTTGGAAAGAATCTTATATTCTATTCAGGAAATCCCATAACTTTAAACTCTCAAGGTTTTCAGTTACTCGGTCTCTGTCACTGCCTACTTTAAAACACTAATCATAGTTCCTTGTGGATTCGACTCCGAACTTAACCGGATTATTACTACAGCTTGACCGCCTGCACTTGGGTGTACACATTTCGGATCAAGTCAAGTTTTTGGCACTGTTGCTGGGGAACCAAAAAAGGTGTTTTAAGGTAAAAGGTAAAAATACCTTTTTTTTTTTAATAGATACTTGCTTCACTGTGTATAAGTTTGTTTTAATTTTATGTCTGAGGACACTCCTCACTATCAAAATTTATAGGCAGAATCTTCTGGATCTGTGAATCAACCAAAACCACCTTCACCTAGATCAGTAGCAGACTCTTGTGAAAGTAGAATGACAAATGATGAGAGACGAGGAGAAATTCCTGTGAGAGAGGGGGAAGTGCCTAACATTTGAACTCTGTGGGATTACTTAAATCCCACAAAAAATAGTGTCCCCTCTTGTGTTTATCTTTCCTGAAAATGCACCCCTCTTTACTGTAAAGACGAGGACAGTTCAACTACTCCCTCAATTCCATGGACTCGAAATAGAAAATCCATATCTGCACATGAAAGAATTTGAGGAAGTATGTGGAACCTTTCAAGACAATTCTGAGCTAGCCAAAATGAAACTTTTTTCATTTTCTCTAATGGATAAAGCTAAGTAATGACTGAATTCTTTAAAAACTCTTTCAATATCTGACTGGAGGGCACTACAAAATGAATTTTTTAGAAAGTTTTTTCCTTTGCACCGCACTAATGCACTGAAAAGGCAAATCATGAATTTTTCGGTGAAAGGGAGAAACCTTTTACCAAAGTTGAGAGAGATTCAAAGATCTACTATAGTCCTGCCTACACCATACTTTTGAAAATTGGACTTTGGTAGGATTTTTCTATGACTCCTTGCCCACTAGACTACGTCAGTTTGCGAAATAATGGCTCAAGGAGAATTTACGAGTAAAAGTCCAGATGAGGCATTCACTTTTTTTGACACCATATCTGACAGTTCTCAAATGTGGGACTCAGTCTCCCCTACCATTGTTGAAGCCAAACCATCTACTTCCTAAGGGGGGTAAGTATGTCTTGAAAGATGATGATGACCTAAGAGCAAAAATGTCTACCTTGTCTCGAAAGTTTGAAGCTTTAGAGATGAAAAAGGTTCATCAAGTTGATGTTGGCCCTTCCACAGAACAAGTGTGTGGGATCTGTGCGCTCTCAAGGAAGTTTTGTTGGAACAAACAAATGTCATTTCTAACTTCAACAAGTCTTACTCCAACTCGTACTCTGAAACATACAATTCAAGGTGGCGGAACCACCTAAACTTCAGTTGGAGAACCACACAACCAACTTCCATGAATCAATAATAAGGTTCACACCCACCACCTCATGGACCTCTCACGTATCAACCATACCAACCACCATAAAAGAGGAGCCTTGAGGCACACTAAATCTGTTCATACAAAGTCAAATAAATTACAACAATAATTCCACTTAGGCTTTCACTGATTTCAAAACACAGACTACTCAATCTTTCGAAAATCTTAAAAGCCACATCCAAAAGTTGACTCGATCCATGACCACAAATGAGAAGGGCTAGTTTCCTGCCCCACCAAAACCTCCACAAGGCCAATTCCATATGGGAAACCCTTCAATCATGGAAAACCCACAAGACCAAGCACAAGTTGTCACTACACTAAGAAGTGGCAAGATGATTGACAAGACCATCAGAGATGTGCTAATTCCCAAGCCAAGACTTCAGTCAATCCCAGTCAACTCACCAGTTGAGCCTGAACCAATTGAGCCTGAACTTGTAATTGAAGAAGAAACTGAGCCTATGATTGAACCAGAGCCAGAGCCTTCACAGGAAGGAGAACCTTCGTGTTCCATTCCTGCTCTTTTTCCTTATAGACTCAAAACCATATAGAAGTTAAATAATTAGCTTGAAATTTACAAGCTTTTTAAGCAAGTGAAAATCAACATCCCACTTCTAGATGCAATCAAACAAGTTTCGTCTTATGCCAAGT